CACCTTCGCTGACTGCGAGGGCACCTCAAATGGACGAGGCTCTTTAAAACGACAGGGGCAATGAAAAGAAAGCCACCGTAAAGTCAGACGCATAAACAGAGAAATAGGAAGTTTCAGGAACTACGTCATATCATTAATATCGTTCAAGATTTTTAAACTTATTTTTTATGATTTATTAAAATGATTATAAAGATTTTTATAACCATTCAAGATTTTTTTAAAATCAAACTTTGATGCATCACTTGCTTTTGTTCATGTCTCGAACAGTTCTGCCAATTAATGTATAAAAGCAAAAAAAAGTACACTTACAAAAAACATATTCTGTAATTGTGTACCTGGTTCACTTTTGCCATGACCACTTTTGGCTTAAACTTATCCCTCATGTTTTTTTCAAACTTTAACAAAAGCTTTCATCTTTTCCCACAGCTGTTGCAATCTGGCTAAGAATTATTTGTCATCTGGTTCTCCACTATCACGCATGGACAGATCATAATGGTGTCTGTAAAGTCGTATACTCGTTTCAGACAAAATCTCTACAAAGGGATTCTTATTCAACTCAAATCAAACGCTGTGCGAACTGTTCACCCGAGTCTCAAATAATCCTGTGCGCTCCACCAGCCGAAAACACGTCGCGCGCATGACGCATGCCATGACATCACATTCGCTGCGTGATAACAGTTCGTTATTGAGTTCAATAACAGTAGGCTGATTGGCTGTTGCATGTTGGTCTCATTTGTAGTTTTTATACCGCATTTTATACCACATTTGGACTATTGAAATAAACAACTACAACACCACAAAAACCAAGCAACAACAAAAAATAATTTAAATGAGCATTAGATGTAGTGTTACATGGACATGGGAAAAATAAGACCGGTGCAAAAATATTTAAGACCTAGAACAGCAAATTAAAGATTTTTTTAAGGCCTAAAATTTCGATTTTTAAGTTTGAGACTTTAAGACCCTGCGGAAACCCTGTATTCGATGTTCTGTCTTCTGACACCACACATGCCTAAATTGAGATACAGGCCCATGCGACAAATGCAGATCAACTTTTAAACAAACAGGATTTAAGTAAATGGGACAACTTTGAGGGCAAGTAGAGTTTCTGCTTTCAGTGACAATCCGTACAGACAATAAATATTAGCATTTTACTATATATAGATACTGTAAATCATGCAAAACAGATGTATCAGAGCACACTGATAAACTCACCTCACACTATCGGTTGGCCCACCATGAGTTTTGTCATGAGGGTTGAAGTGCGGACCTGCACTGATGCAGCCTGTGATCAAGAGCAAAAAATAAATAAAAATAGCACAAGTGTGATTTGTGGCCCTTTAAACGCATTAAGTGCTTACACTATGAAAGTATGTAAGTGGAGAATTTAAAAACTTTTCAGAGCTGTTTACTCCTTCACTTTGGATTCAGAACCAGGTAAAAAATGGAGTCTAATGGTTTTAGGTCAAGGTTATTGGTCCTGATGGGATGAACTTGTACTTTAATGCAGTGTTTCTCAACCATGTTCCTGGAGCTGATGATCTGAATCAGGTGTGTTTGGTTAAGGAGACATGGAAAATATGCAGAACTGATGATCCTCCTGGAACGTGGTTGAAAAACACTGCTTTAATGAATGGAGTGGCATACCCTGACACCCCGTTTACACCTGAAATTATGATGCATTTTGCTCACAAGGAGGTTGTTTACACCTGGGATCTCATTTAATAGGGTGGTGAATGCACAAAATGGGGGGAGAAATGAAGCGATATAAATCATCATGTGGGCCATAATAATCGCTAAATGTTCAGTTTGACCACTCCTTACCGTTTGTGTTGTCACCAAAAGCATGGACGTGGAAACCATGTTTTCCTGGAGTAAGGCCAGTAATTTCACCAGTCACCTTGACTGGCTTCTTTTCACCCTAAAACATACAGATCCATTGTGTGGTTAACAACGGTTTCATATCACTTCAGAAAACATGGTTTCATATCATTTCACAAAACAAAAGCGCAGTTAACCAAGTTATGCTTGGCTGCAAAACACATCATACAGACAATTTGTTTCCAAATGTACACCTGGAATGCACTGCATGTTTATCTCAACACGGAATCAAAAGTGACAATATGCTTATTTTGCTTTCTTGCAATGTCACTTATTTTATGAGAGGTTTATCAATACAAGTCATAAATCACCCAAGCTCAACTAATAGAAAACCACAACATTCAAATCAATTCATGGAAAAAAAAAAATTTTTTACTCTTCAACCTTTGTCCTCGTTACAGACATTTTACTCAGATATACATTAAAATATGGAAGAAAAGATCATGAAACTTGTTTTAATAGATTTGAGTAATAAAAAAAATAAATTTAAAAAATCAAAACATGCCTCGATGACATATTGAATACTTGATTGAGGTAAAGTTGGTTTTACATCCGCACATTCATTCAGTGAAAACTTATGAAATACCCCCTATATTTTTATATTTTTTTACTTTCAATATTTGGTATGAACGCAAGTTTAACTTTAAAACAACATTAGCACAAATAGTTTGATAGTGAACAATGTTGTACTTTGAAAGTGATTATATGATTTACTATTTAGAATTTTAATTGATTTTCTTTGGTGAAATTATATTATTAAGGAGAAAGACTGAATATGCAAATATACAACTAACTTTACCTCAACAGATACTTGAAGCGCTGCTGGATAAAATACAGAAGAACTTCACAATTTAAACATTAAATTATTATAGGGAAGGCTAAAGACAAATTAAAACAATATAACGAGATTTGGGACTAACACAAACAGTAAATAGCGCTTAACAGCAAGTAAATGTGTATTCAGATGCCACACCAATACAGTAATAAGCTCTATCAGCATTTAAAGCGTGCTGTGATCTCTGTCCTATTTGGCAAAATTATGACTGCAAACAGAGATAGAGGAGCATGAGTCAGCAAACCTTTCCCCTTGTAGTAAATTCTTAAGACTTTCGATAAAGTAAATACCTCAAGAACCTACAGGCAACCTACGCTACAAAGTCTCAATATCAAACTCAAACGCATGGCGGTTCAAGGTTTGCATGTAAGTTAACGTCTGCTATTGAGGAAGCATATGCGTTAATTAGTTTGCGCGTGCATGGGGGGGCGTAGACCTGCCATCTTATCAAAGGTCATTTCTGAGCTGCTTTCAGCGGTTTATTATGGGATGCGACATTGCACAAAATATTAGTAATAGGATGTACAACTCAACATTGTGTTTTTAAACATGTTCGGTCATTTATATTTGCATTGCATTCGCACAGCAAATTCCGTGCAATTGCATGCTACTCTATCATCATGCATACGTAAAAATATGACAACAGACGTCTTCAATCTCGATCATGGAGTGCGTAGTAGTTTCATGCTAGCTCGACGCGCGCGCTGCTCTCCTGCTACATGAACGTCATTTCAAATATGGATCAAAACAGACATTTTTTACCTCTTGATTGAAATAGACGGTGCCGGTCACTTCACCGGTGCCTTTAAGCACACAAACGGCCTTGTTCACCATGCTGACTGTAGATTATGCAAACTGAGAAGTTGTGAGAGAGTGAAAGAAACCGACTGTGTTTGATAAGAGGAGGCACGTGAGCGGAATCGACCAATGAGGAGGCAGAAAAGAGCGGTGGATGCTGATTGGTTCAAAGTCTGGCGTGTCACGGTGTCATAAGGTATCGTTTTGAATGAACTTGTGGAACCAGTTACTTTAGTTATTTTATTAGTTATATAAACTGACACTGAAAGTAAACTCTTGTCACTTTTCTTGCCATTTTAATTACATTTACGACACGGCGGCTTAATGGTTAACACTGTCGCCTCACAGCATGAAGATTGCTGGTTCGAGTTACAGCTAGCTTAGTTGGCATTTCTATGTAGAGTTTGCATGTACTCCATGTGTTGGCGTGGCTTTCCTCCGGTTGCTTCGGTTTCCCCTACATGACAAAGACATGCACTATAGGTAAATTGTATTAACTAAATTGGCCATAGTGTATGTGTGAATGAGTGTGTTTGGTTGTTTCCCAGTACTGAAACAGCATCCGCTTAGTAATAAAATATGCTGAATAAGTTTCTGTCTCGTTCCATTGTGGCCACCCCTGATGAATAAAGGGACTACCCCGAAGAAAAATGAATGAATGAAGTTTCTGAATAACATCCTTTTCTTGCTCAATGCAAGTCACTTTGAAAAAAAAAAGTAAGAGTAAAAGTTAAACCAGTTAAACTTAGATTTTCAGACAATAAAAGAAGTTATAACAATATCTTTCTCATTATTTGTTACAGTATAAATATTTCTGATCATAAAGTGGTTTCAATAAGAATGTACATCACATGTATTATTTTGGCTACCTATGTGGTACATTCAAAGGTACAGGACACCCAAATATGAAGATTCTGTCATTTACTTACCTTCCACCTGTTGCAAACCTGTTTGAATTTCTTCTGTTTAACGATCTTCGAAGAATGTTAGAAACCGGTGGGCATTGAATTTTATGTAATTGGTCCCTACTATGGATATATAAGGCTACCAGTTTCCAGTATTCTTTAAAATATCTATACTCATGTGCTTTACATCAGACAAAAAGCTCACACATTGATTGAACCACTTGAAGTTGAGTGAATAGTTAGTACATATAGTTATTTGGCTCAAATTACACAGTCCTATAGTATTATTCTTTAAAAAAGGAATATATCAAAACCATGTTTGTCACTTTGACCTTGGCATTTGGTCACATGCATCCTCAAATTCTACAGTCATGCCCTATTCATATACATATACTGTAGACATCCTATTCAAACCATTACAAATGGTTTTGGTACAGTGTCACATGATAACTACCACAAATCATAATAAAACTGGTTAAATATAGTTAAAAGCTCAGAAAAAGCTCAGTTTTTTTATTCATGATTAGTTTTAAATGCACGACTAGAATAAATGTTAAAAACAAGTTGCATAAACCAGTTCATTCATTTGGTATGAAAATATTTTATTAAAACCACCTCCTGTCGCTGAAATATTTGGAGTTCCTATCTCCAAAAACTTAAAAATGATAAAAACATCTTGTGTCGTTTTTTTTTTTTTTTTTTTTGAATGTTGTAAACATTAAGTTAAAAACATTACAGCAAAAGGGTCTTAATGTCATATTTTAGTCAGCGTTTCCAAATATTAAACTCAACAGGGATATCATTGGAAAAAAAAAAAGCCAGTCAAAATCTACAAACATTATTGGAGTAATGTTAGCATATGTACAGCAAACAATTAATCGTTTCTTTTCCTTATCTTCAGTTTTAATACAACATTCAAGCTTCATTGAGGTGGGACAATAAATTCACAAGGCAACGCTCCACGTTTGCCAAAACACAAATTTGAAAAACTTGGTTTGTGATGACGAAGCAATCCTCATATGCATAAAGCGTCCCACAACAGTTGGACTTTGCTTTTTAGCCAGCAGTATTCAAGATTAGCACTGACACAGAAGAAGCTCATGTGGTCTTAATGAGTAAAGAAGCCTCTACGACTCCTCTTTTTGTGTTTGTTCTTCAGATTTGTTCTCTGCTATGGGTTCTGAAGCTTCCGAGTCTGCTGTAGCTGCAGCAGAAGGTGCTGGAACATCTGGCTTGGCTTCAGCAAGTTCTTTAGTAGGGTTTGCACTGGGCTCGTTGGTATTTGCTGAGAGTCTCTCATTGGGTTCCTCGCCGGCCAGACCCAATCGATCGAGTCTATCGTCGCGGTCCCAGCGTGTGCTCCTCTCTCTGCTCCCTGCGGGCCGCTTGGTCCGTTCTTCACCATCGCGGCCTCGTTCCCGCTCTCCAGTATCGCGTCCTCGTTCCCTCTCTCCACCTTCGCGTCCTCGTTCCCGCTCTCCACCATCGCGTCCTCGTTCCCGCTCTCCACCATCGCGTCCTCGTTCCCTCTCTCCACCATCACGTCCTCGTTCCCTCTCTCCACCATCGCGTCCTCTTTCCCTCTCTCCACCATCGCGTCCTCGTTCCCTCTCTCCACCATCACGTCCTCGTTCTCCATCTGGACTTCTCCTCCAGCGTTCCTCCCTGCGTTCTCTTTCCCACCCACCTGGTTTCTCTGGCTCCTCGTGCCATCCTCCAAACCGCTCACGTCCATCTGGTCTTTCCCCACCACGTCCCTCACCAAAAGGCCGTCGTCCTCCAAACCAGTCCTGCTCTCGGCCTCTTCCTAATCCGGGACGTTCTCCTCTAAAAGGTCGAGCCTCATGATCATTTGGCCCCTCAGGCCTTGGTAAGCTCGGCCTCATAAAGTGAGGTCCGGGAGGTGGGAACGGTCCCCGGATGCCATGAGGTGGAGGAGGCATGCTGAAACCACCCGGTGGAGGTTCGCGGTGCATCATCTGAGGTGGACCCCTGGGTGGCATCATCTGTGGTGGCATGGGTGGCATGCCTGCCCGAGGTGGGGGAATGGGGAATCGCTGCATGTGCGGAGGTGGCATCCCCGGGGGCCGCTGAAGAGGCATCATACCTGGCCTTGTGCCAAGAAGACCAGGAGGAGACTGCATGCCCATCCCTGGTGGAGCTCCAGGAGGCACCTGGTTTCCTGCAGCATTAATGAAGACAAATTACTTAAATGAAAATCATTCTTACAGTTTATTCAGAAAATATGAATTCTGCCTGTTCACATTAAGCTAAAGCCAAAGATGTTTCTATGTGGTGGACATTTTAAGAGAGACTTCTGAGAGAGATTTCAATGATGCAGATGTAATTGTAAAATTTAGACATAGACATTTTATTTAGACATAAGAGTTTCTGGTTTTACACGAATGCACATCTGAGAAAAGAATGAATAAATGGATTTCAGAAAACAAAACGAGTCGTTTTTTTTGATACAAGGTCATAATTGTTGATGATTCCTTTCAAATATTTTAAAGGGTCATGAAACCCCCCTCTTTCGGTTCAAGTCTACCTCAGAATTTCTTTTTCAAAAAATGCTTCATGATGAATGTGGAGCGCTGCGAGCACCGGGAAGAGTGGGCTTGACTGGTGGCAGGGGAGAAAGAAGGTAGCAAACAACTGTAGTCAGTTGGCTCACAAAATGAGACCAATCGTGAGGAGACCCATGATTTCATAGTTTACAAAGTTAAAATGCAAAGAAATAAACGGAAATTTAATGCCCTGCTAAATATGTTATTTGTTATTTCATAACGCATAACCACAATTTGTTCTATCATTATAAAGATAATCATATAAACACTATAAACCAATATATATATATATATATATATATATATATATATATATATATATATATATATATATATATATATATATATATATATATATATATATATATATATATTTTCCAACCAATAGCCCTGTCGGCTAATCTAGAGAATTTTAAACATGTGCGAACACAGCAGCACAGATAGACAATGTGTCTGAATGGTAACAAACTCAACTGATAAAAGACAGTCCACATTCTCCAATAAGAAAGATGGACTTCGATAAGAAAACTCAGCTGTGAATAATAAAGCGAAACTGACGCATCATTACTCCACTAGCAGATTGGCACTACGTCATCGATTTTGATCCTGCCCCAAAAATTATTTTAAACCCCGAAGATGAAATTAGCTGACAAAAACTCAAAAGTATCCAGTTTTTCCCACAATTAAACTAACAGGTGCTAAAGTTCTCTTAACTGATGTTCAACACACACAAATCTGTTAAAATAGCAAAACAAGTACTGCAGGGTCTCTTGAACCTTTAAAGCTAATTCTATAGAATTTTGTATTAAAAAAACAAATATTTTGGGGGAAAAAAACTATGTACAGTTTAAAGAAATATCTAGTGTTAAATAAATCTATACATAGACCCACCTGAGTTGAACACATCTGCTCCATCAGTGCTGATTTTTGGGCCCAGACCTGCTGAATCATTCGACAGGTTTTCAACAGAGCTGCCAACTACAGCGATTAAAAAGGCAAAATGAGATTAGTATGACTGTCTCAATATTACACAGGAAGAATTACTGCTGAAATCCATACCATTAAATTAAAGCTAAAGTGTATAAATTGAAGACTGCCCACCTGGAGGCATCCCGATGCCTGCTGTAGGTGGAGGAGGGCCAGCAGCACCCATATGGGGCATGGCACCCGGTGGGAGAAATCCTGAAAGAAAAAAACTATACGTGTTGGAAAATGGACACAAACATCTATAATTAATGCTGTGTGAGTATTATTTCTATACCTGGTGGCATCTGCATGGGGTTAAAGGCTGGCCGCATGAAGGGACCTGGAGGTGGAGGAACACCAGGTGGGAATGAGGGTGGTGGGATGTTCATGTGTGCTGGGAATCCCGGAGGTGGGACACCGACTGCTCCTATTGGCTGGACAGGAGGAACCTGATGATGAATAATTAAAAAAAGAATAAATAAATAGTACAAACCCAAACTTGAATGCATATGAATCAGGCAATGTTGCTTTACCTGCATAGGTATGACAGTTTGGGTCTCTTCCACTTTTCCCACCTCTGGCCGGCCGTTCTGAGACTCATCAGTCTTCTGTTCAATCTGAGAGTTTCGCCATTCTGTATAAGGATAAATCACGTATAACTGTGTGTCCTCAAAGCTGACAAATCAAGCTGACTAATATTCTATGTCTTCAGAAGAAGAGTATCAAATAAAAAACAATGCTTTAAAATAGGGGTGTTCAAACTCAGTCCTAGAGGGCCGGTGTCCTGAACAGTTTAACTCCAACCCTAATCAAACACACATGAACAAGTTAATCAAGCTCTTACTAGATAAACTATAAACTTCCTGGCTGGTTTGTTGAAGCAAGTTGGAGCTAAACTCAGCAGGACACTGGTTCTCCAAGACCGAGTTTGGACACCCCTGCTTTAAAGCATTTTTTTCAAATCAAACCTACACAAATTGCAGTAAACAATGGTATTAGGCTACCAGGCAAGCTTTGGTGTTTAACAATTTTTGTAAAACCAGACAAAATGTATTTGCTTCTGACAGGAACTAGAGCCCAGGTTGGACAAATAGTTGAATACCTGGCGCAAGAGTGTCAGAATCCAGCATCCCTCCTTCTCTGAATACGTCCAAGTCCTCCATCTTTACCTTGGACCATGGAACATAGGTAACACCCAATTCCACATCCCAATACTGCTTGAATTCAGCCTTAATGCCCTTATTTAGAGCCCAGGCAATCTGGAGAAATACAGTGATGAATATATGACTGTGAATATAATGTTAAATATATTACAAATTAATAATTATATGAAATATAATTAAAACTTGTATATACTCTCTGTATTATTTCAATGTTCTAAAATATAATTTATTACTGTGATGAAACAGTGAATTTTCAGTATCATCATTCCAGTCTATGATCCTGATTTTATGATGCTCAATATTTTATACAAACCGTTATAAGTTTAAATGATTCTTTCATAAATTGAAAGTTCAATATAAAAACTATCAATGCTATAACAGAGTTTCTGCAGGTTTCACCAAGTTAAAGTTAAGCCTTTAAGACATTTTAGGACCATTATGAATAAAATTTTAGACTCATAAAGAGCTAAATGCTAAGGAGTATGTTTCTAATATCGCAGTTAGAAAAGATTTTTACTTGCCCTAACAAAAAACTATTTAAATGTAATACATTTAATAATACAATAATAGTAATAATTTAGTTTGAAATATTTTTAAATAATTTTCAAATATATCCATTCACAAACCTTTTAACCCTTACCAAGAATAGACCAAAACATAGCTGTAAATTACTTCAGTCTACAATAACAATAATTTAAGAATAGAAAATTTAGATCAGGTCAGTATCCTCAGCAGTAAATAAATGGAGAACTTTTAAGAAAAAGTTACTGTAAGGAAAGTTTTAGAAAAATGAAGACTTGTTAAATAAGATGTAAAGACCTACAACACAACATTTCAGTAGATTTAAGACTTTTTAAGGCCTACAATTAGCTTTTGAGATTTAAGACATTTTGAGACCCTGTGGAAACCCTGTATAAATGTATTGCATCTTTGCTAAAACAAAAATTAAAAAAAATTCTGTTTAAAATACTTTTATTATTATTATTTATTAGTGTTTCTGCATTTTAGTCTTTTATTTGATCAGTGTATGAAATGCACTAATACATTTCTGGCACTACTTGTATCTTACATGTTTGTTCTATTTATATTTCCTATTGTAATTTCTACTTTATTTAATAATGGAATTTAAAGTGGAAAGCAAAGAAAAAATGTGCATTTGACAATTATCATTCACTTTATTTACTTTAATTGATTCGTTTTCTGTTATCATCTTATACCTTAATGGCTTTCTGGTTGACTTTGTATGGACCTCTGCTTAGTTTTTGCAGGGCTCGATAGGCATCTTGACGATGAATCATGACGATGTAGGCACAACCTCGTGGAGGAATCATCTATCAAAATCAAATAAACAACACATGGCATTAGGTTAGAAAGCTATGAGCTACACATTCAACAGAACGTACAATAATAATCCAGAACATACATTAATTGAATCTATCTGGCCAAACTCCTCTAGTATAGAGGCCACGTCCTGCTGCTGTGTCCTCTTATCCAGCTGACCCACCCATAGAGTTGTGCTGCACACTGAAAGAGAGGAACAACTATTCATTGAAAACAGGAAAAAGGTTCAATAGGGTCAAAGGTGATTTCTATCCACATTTTGTCAAGTAAATCTCCAGCATGTGCTTTCAGATGGAGCAGAATTTACTACACAGGTTTGTAGTACGTTGACAAGCTATGCAAACTCAAAGTCAGTCACCTTAACTGGTTGATAATAAAATGAAGATCATTTTGTAATAATGACAAATGTCTGAATTTACTACAGCTCTGTGCAATTCTGTGTAATAAATGCTGCTCCATCTGAAAGCATGTGAAAACACCACATCAACATGTTTTTACTCTAAGCTCGCTTGACTGAATCAGTGACAGCAGTGAAATCTTCAGCTTATTAGGAAATTACTATGTTGATTTCCTGGGTTTTTCCTACAGCAGGGTTTTTAATTGATTGCAAATTGAGAAATGATTTTCTGAATGCATCCTGATTCTCTCTTGAATCGATTTGGAGTTCACTTTTTAACACCAGAGGCGCTGTATGCTTTATAAACAGCCACACTCTCCCAATCCCTACTCATTCCACTTGAATGAAAAAGAATCATTAATAAAGAGAATGATTCAATAAAAATTAAGTTCAATTGACCACTTACAGCAGGGATGTCCAGACTTGGTCCTGGAGGGCCGGTGTCTTACAAAGTTTAGTTCCAACCCCAATCAGACACAGCTGACCTAGCTAATCAAGCTCTTACTAGGCAGTCTAAAAACATCTATGCAGGTGTGTTGAAGAAAGTTGGAGCTAAAATCTGCAGGACACCGGCCCTCCAGGACCGAGTTTGGACACCCCTGACTTACAGTAAATGATCGAAAGCACTTGCTCACTTAAAGCATACGATTAAAAACTAGCCTAGAGCCCCATTTGTTGTTTGACTCAAGATATAATCATTATGCACCCCGAAAATCTAAGCATTGATCCATGAATAACAACATGTATCGCCCTCCAAAGGGCACTTTGAAATGAAAAGAAACATGACCGCCATATTGAAATGTTGTTCCAAACCCAAGTGCTCAAAACTGGCTAGTTTGAAGGGCCTTTTGGAATGAAGGATTTGAAGGGTACAATTGATGGACACCTCAGGCACCCATGACATATTCATTGTTAGATGTCACACAGACAGATAGCTGTTTGACTTTTGGCAACTGCTGTGATATTTATAAATAAAGTTATAAATAAAATGATTATAAATTCTATTACAATGATGTATAGGTTAAAACATACATGCATAAATAATAAAAATTAAATAAACAAGTCGCAGCCTGCACAATCTACTCATTTTTCCAGATTTCATAATATTACAGTTTTGTGGGTGTAAACCAGCAGACAAAATGTGCGACAAAAACACCTCCTCGATTGTCTCGTTATGACGACGCAAAAATGCGTTCCAAAAAATTATTTTTTGACCACTGCACCCTTCATCCCTTTGAAGCAGTCACTTTAAAGGGTTAACACTTTGAAGTGATTAGAGCATAGGGATGAGCCATTCTGAATTAAGAGCAGCATCAATCATCCAAACCCTAGTCTCTTCTTTGCTGTTTTTTTGGAGTTTCCACACAAGAGCGCCCTCTATCCATCATCTGAGATTTCACAGAACCATGCTTCCCGGATGTGCATGACAATCGCAGCTTTGCATAAATGTGTTTGCAATTTTATTTTGATGAATCACCCACACCTAAGGTTCAGTAGTGTGTTATGTATACTTAGAAGTGAAAGTGGCCTTCTTACCACTGAGTGTGTTATTTTTAACAGGAGGGAGGCCTTTCTGTCTTCGTTCTCTTTCCTTTTCTCTGTCTCTCCTTTCCTGAGAGCGCGAGCGAGGTGACTGACGCCGCCGTTCTCGAGACCGAGATCGTCGATGCCTCATTCGTCTGGACCGGGAATTGGATCGAGACCTTCTTCTTTTAGGAGACCTGAAAAAACAACATCCCCATTTACAATTTACTATATTTTTCTAGGATTTCATGTTTTTGTAACAAATCACAGAATACAATGATATACAATTACAATGATTTACAATTGCAGAAGAAATTTAAATATTTCATATCATCTTGATGAGCCATTCTTCTGGTTTATCCTTGCAAAAAAAGACTATTTTTTTTTTCATGCAGAGTTAAAATACACACGAGTGTGCATTTATTTGTTAATTAAACATAGCAGACAAGGGGCATGTGTGTTGTGTAAAATACAGGGAGCTTACGAAGGTGTGTGGAATAGAAGTACGTTTTGTTGTGTTTAATGGTCAATTGCAGCATATATTTGCAGGAAACCAACATGCTTTTAAAGAGAGAGTTCACCTAAAAGAAAAATTATGTTATCATTTACTCTCTCTCATGTGGTTTTAAACCTTTATGAGTTTCTTTCTACTGTTGGAACACAAAAGAAAGTATTGCTGGGACCCATCGATCTCCATAGTAGGAAAAAAATTCTGTATATTTGAACAAGTAAAAGGTGATTAAATTATGAAAGAATTGATCTTTTGGGGTGAATTATCTCTTTAAGGCAGGCGAAGTGAAATAAAAGTCTAAAATGTTATTGTACTGGTTCATGACCCTCTAACCTTGCCGCAAGGACTCAAAATAAAAACTGTGAGCTTTAGATGAATGGTTATTGTTGTTCATAAGGATTTTTGTGTACACACCTCGACCCCGAGCGTGACCTTGACCTCTTGTCTTCATGGGCAGACCTCGCAGATGCATCTGAATTCATCAGACTTTCCTGTGACAGAATCGAATAATGATTAGTGTAAGATTTAATGGCAGTTTTTCCCTGTTATACATCAGTCACAATCCTTTTACCGCATGTCCAGACATGAGTTGATTGAAGGCCTCATTTTGAGGAGGGAAAGCTGCGTTCGGCTGCCCCATTGGAGGCATCATGCCTGGATAGGGCTGAGAGGTCATGAGACCAAAGCCTTGGACCTGTCCATTTGAAGGTAGAACAACCTGAGCACATCAAAACCAAAACATGACTAGGGAATAATAAATCACAGATAAATGTCATCTGATTAAATATTAGGCAAAAAATGCCTTCCAAAAAAGGAGGCTGTGATAATCTACCTGTTGGCGCTGTGATACAGCCATCATATGCTGTTGAAAGTGCTGCATCTGATTGGCTGGAGGAAATCCTGGGACAGTTTGCTCAGGAAAACCCCTGTGGAGACAAAGATTAACCAAATTATAAAACTTGCTCAAAAGTAAGCATGTTGTGCACTTCAACATTTAGAAAAGGAGATTCTGTATACATAGAAGGTTGGACAGACTGCGCTTCCTCCTTCTTGGCATCCTCTCCTGCATCTGGCTCATCGTCATAGTCAAAGCGGTCAAGAATTGTCTAAAAAAAAAAAGAGGAGGAAAGACACAAAAGAACATACTCCCATTATCTTTAATAAAGATTTTAATAAACTGATACAATTACAAACAATTGAAAATATTGTTCAAAAGTTTAAGTGCTTAAGATTTTTTAAAAACTTTTGAAAGAGCATGTAAATTTAAAAATATACTAAATAATACTACATTAGTATTATTAGTAGTACTGTTGTGTCATTTTATAAACATCAATAGAAATATTACATTACATTTCTATGCCAACAAATCAGAATTTTTTAGAATCATCAATCTTTCAATTTCACACAATCCTTCAGAAATAATGCATACATGCTGATATCTAGTCATTTTAAATTTCAAAAACCAATGTTCTGCATATAATTTTTGTGGAAAGAGTGGTACAGGATTGGACTGCATCATTTTAATCATGTGTGTAATGAACATGTATGTAACTTTAAATCAATTTATTGTCTATTTTGATCATCATCATCTATTTTTACATAATGCCATGCCAGCAATAACGGCAATGGCAAAATAATTTCCTTATTAAATATACATTTAAAAACCACAAACAACCAAATACATAAGTTATAGATTTTTGTCTCTTTTGGTCATTCTGAAATGGGTCATATGCAATTAAACTTAAAGAATAAAAATAAAAAAACACTTAGGAATGGTATTTGACTACTGACCACATCCCACACAAACCCTTCCATACCCTCACTGCACACCATCAATATGTAGCATGCACTGCTCTTTAACCAATCCACACTTAAAACAAAAGTGACTACAACTATATGTACACCAATTCATTGTACACATCGCTGTCAACACTGCCAATTTTACATAGTCCTGTTTTTTGGGAGTATGCTGTTGTATGTTGTCTGTTTTTTGTACTGTCTGTTTCTATATCTAAGCTTTTCACTCATCACAGCACACGTGCTGCGGATGATGTGACAATAAAAGTGATTTGATTTGACTAATTCCTGCAATGGCTTTCAGATGAGCAGTTCTTGTGTGCTTCTAAATACCAAAGTAAGTTGAAAAACATTTGATCTGATATATCACCTTGTCGAAGGTGGCTTTCTTTTCCACAGGCTGCGGTGCGTGATGGATGTGCTGATGTGGGATGGTGGATGGGGGTGCTATAGCCTGGGCTTGTAGATGGAGATGACTCCTGTTATTGTCCACCACCGGAGACTGAGGTTTCCCTGGTGGCTGAAAGTTCTGCAGCATCTGCTGAAGCTTCAGAAAGCACGAGTAACTATGACTATCTCAACAGATTTTATTTTTTTTGGTGTATGGTACATGTTTGCAAAGAGTTCTGCAGAAAATGCAGTGCAATGCTAATAATCCGACTAACCTGCTGTCCTTGAGAAGACTGAATTAGCTGAGCAACTGCAGCAAAGGCATCCGAGTTCTGAAGCTGAGGCACAGCTGCTACAATTGAGTTTGTCGTCACCACAGGATGAGCCTCCTGTTCCCTCACGGGAGACTGTGGAGAAGCTGCAGAAGCACATTGACAATAAGCTTGTATATTTTAATAGATATTTTAAATTGCATGTAACAAGCTAAAACATTTTATTATAGGAAAACTTTCGGCAGGGTAGTCTGGAAACAGTTTTGATTATTGATGCACAAATTACAGAATCAAAAATCTGATTTGATTCAATGAAATGGACAGTTTTAGCTAATTCATACAAATAAACTTTAAATAACCAGAGCTTCAATCAGAAAAAATATAAAATTGACTTAAAAAATGATGCTCTTATTCATATCTAAATATTATCTAATTAAGCACCTATTCATATCTAAATCAAATTCGGCCACTGAAGCTTAAGGATGTTTGGTTGATCAACAAGAAACTTGAATTGAAGTCACAATTCTGGTTGGCTTTATCAAAAAATAAAACATGCTAAAACAGGCTGAATGTATTAATGTGCTATATTTTTAATAAAAGCCCACCAAAATTATATTATTTCATCCCATACAGTGATTTAGTTTATTCAGTATACTTGAAATAAACTAAATTGATTTATTCTTAATCTTGTTATACATGATTTGTAGCTTCAAACGTTTATCATAAATATACCTTCAATGGAGAGATGAAATCTCTCAAACTTGGTTAAAAATATCTTCATTTGTGTTCAGAACTTCAGACGATGAATGAAATTCTTGAGAGTTTACAAAGACATGATGATGATTATTTGTGAGGTAAAATCATACTGCAGTGAATTATTGCTTTAATACACCTACACTTTAGGTCAATAACTATTTAAATGTTTTAAAAAGCATTTCATACTCAAGGCAGCATTCATTTGAACAACATACTGGGCTATATTACAAAATACAATACTAGAATTGTATTATATTTTTCTACTTTAGCAATGTTTCTAAAGTTGCTTTTAGTCAATTTAAAGTTTCCTTGATAAATTATTTGCAAAAAACACATTTTTCATAAATGTAAGACATATTTTCACATTTCTCGCACAAAAAAATGATAGTAGATTGTATTACCAATCTCAAATGAAAGAAAACTGTATCTTACCTGCATCTGGGCCATTGTCCAAGCCTGAGGAGCTGCTGGACCCAGCAGCCATGTCCAACAGAGGCTGAATGACCTCGATCTTAAACACTCCATTCTTCTGCCACAGGTTGAGCACTCGTACTATCTTACTCTGAAAAAAAAAACACATGAATATTCAAATCATTAGTCATACAATGACACAACTAAATAAATCTTTTATAGTCTTTATATTTAAATACTCTCACCCGATCTTCAGTGGGACACAAGCATAGATTCTCAAATGTCCCAGTGATGTTTTTAGTAAACCTGGGTCCAAACACATCTTTATCTGCTCCAAACTGATGCCGTGACTGTCTCACAATGGAATCCACCACATAGAGACCGGGAACTTTGTACTCCGGTTTGCACTGTGCACGGAATAACATTCAGTAACTAAATACAGCCAACAATCATTCAACTTTAATCAAGTTCCGACAGGCACCTACCTTCTTTATGAACTTTTCCACTATCTGGACAACATGCTTGTATAACTGAAAGACAAAATGTTTTCAAATGTCACTGCGTTCAAGTATCTTTGACTACAAGCCTCATGGGTGACAAGTAAACAGATTTAAATCATATTCTAACTAACCATATTAAGTATCCAATGTGAAGATGTGTGCAATCAACAACAAGACAGACTTACTTTGATAGCTTTTATGGCAGATTTGGTGATAGAGATCATCTTGGCCCTCGAGATGGGGGGCTTGGTGTCCATCAAGGAGAACAACTGCAATGAAAACAAGATGTACAGTAGTGTTAATGCATAAGGTGCTAATGAGGTTTGAGGTCCCACCGGAAGCATACAAACATCATTACTGAATAATCACACTTAACACTGCCTTCAAAATATTTTACACCAAAGGATGATGTGTTTTGTTTTATAGATACTAAAGTATTATACTTATTCTGTGCTACAAATATATCAAAAGATATAGTAGTACACATTAAAGCAGCATTTTATTTCCAATGAATTTATGATTTTGTAAGGCATATTCTGTGAAATCTAGCTTACAGAAACACTTTATAAAATAACAGAAGGCCTTTTATAATTTATAGCACTGTTTACAAATACAGATGCACCATAGCATGCTGGATCGAAATTGAATGCCACATTCACACTTGAAGTTGATTTTATTGGATTTCTAGTAGAAAGGAGGTATTCTAAAGCTTGTTGTTAAAATGCTTTCTCGTTTTCTACTTCAATATGCAGAGACCACTGTAATAACCGTTTATCATATGCTGATGATTTTCCTGGAAACATAAACATTGTGATTTGTTTTGTTAATGAAATGCAACAGTCTGGTTCCCTCAAGGTCAAATTCAATCATTTTCTTCACAGAAACAAAACTTATAATGATAACAGCATTAAAGACAGATCTACTGTGAGCAATGGGGTGGTTAATCTGTGTTATTTGCTTTTTGATTAAGTTAATAATCGGCATTACTACATCATAGTTTAATAACTGTTGAAATGCAAAATTCCTAATGAGAAAAATATTCATGGTTTTGCCAGGAAAGAAAATCTGCAAATCAGAGAAGCAAACTGAACAACCCTGTAAAAAAAACTTCCTTTTTCTTAAAACAAAGACTGTAATGTTGTGACTTTCCTCACGTTGCATATATCTTCAACATTAACTTCCATTAAAATCCATTTGGAAGAAATACCTTTTCAAACATGGTTGCTGAACAAACGTGTGTTTAGTTTGTTTTCAACAAAAACCCTGAAAGAGTTTTGGCTGTCTGCAACTCACATGGTCGCCCACTAGAGCTAAGCAGGGCTGTGCACAGTCAGCACCCGGATGGGAGACCACATGGGAAAGCTAGGTTGCTGACAGAGGTGGTGTTAGTGAGACCAGCAGGGGGTGCTCAACCTGAGGTCTGTTCGGGTCCTAATGCCCCAGTACATTGATGCAGACTCTATACTGCTCAGTGAGAGCTGTCTTTTGGATAAGATGTCGCTAAAACTTTAGAATGTCTTGAAAAAGAAAAAAGAAAAAAAAGAGAGAGTAGGGGTTTAACACTGGCATCCTGGCCTCTGTCCATCATGGCCTCATAACCATCCCCATATCACAATGGGCTTCATCACACCGTCTCCTCTCCACCAATCAGCAGGTGTGCGGTGTGGTGCAATATTAATGCCGTCAAGTCATCCAGGTGGATGCTGCACACTGGTGGTGGATGAGGAAATTCCCTCCAAAAATGTGTAAAGCGCTTAGAGTGTCCAGAAAAGCGCTATATAAATGTAAAGAATGATTATTCTTATTATTAACAATGGTGCACCTCAACAGGGACCTGAAAATGCAGATTTTTGAAGCTCGATTTAAAAATGCTTTTTTTTGGAAAACTTTACAATATCATCACTGCATAAACTACAAAAAACTATTTTTTGTGGACAAAGACAACCACATAAACAAAAATCGGTTTGCAAGTACGCTGTCAAAACCTAAAATAATTTGCTCTGTTCCCTGTAAAGTTTCTCATAGGGATTTATAATGAGAGTTTTCATTTAATGAATTCATTTAAACATCGTGTTCAGAAACATACACCCCCTCAAGCGTTCTTATTTTGCACCTTAATATAAATGTACATTTTGTATAATACATGCAAGCGCTTCAAAGTTCATGTTTTCTGATAAGTATGTGTCTGTTTACATTAAAGAGCAAAACTTTTAAGATAGTTCACCCCAAAATATAATTGTATTCACCATTTACTCACCCTCAAGTGATGCCAGACCTTTAGGAAATTCTTTTTTCTGTTGATCACAAATCAAGAAGTTATTTCGAAGAATGTTGGAAACTAATTCCCACTGACATCCACGGTAGGAAAAACAAATACTATGGAAGTCAATGGCTAATAGTTTCCAACATTTTTCTTTTGTGTTCAACAGAAAAACACAAACTCAAACAGGTTTGTGACAAATGGAAGAAGAGTAAGCACTGATAGAATATTCATATTTGGGTAAACAAATAAACCCTTTAAAGAATCAAGTCATGTTTAGCTCAGATATTGGTGTACATAAAAAAATAAAAAAAATAAAATAAAAACAGGCAAAGGCAAATTATTATGTTGTGGCTCTTTATTTTACATGTTCAGCCTAGACGCTACAGTATAGACTGTACATACGTCAACTAAAACAATAGAAGACTACAGCTCAGGGCCAGGAGCTGCAGTAATCAATTTATGAATTTCAGATAAGTTTTTAACATAACAGCACAGTGATTGAGTTTGTGTTAAGGCCATGACTGATTATTTAGCTGACTAATAGGGGGATATCTGCTTAAAGAGACAGTTCACCCAAAACTGAATGTCATCATTTACGCTCCCTTCACTTGTTTCAAACCTGTTTACATTTCATTCTACTGTTGGACACAAAAGACAGTATTTTAAAGAAAGCTGAAAACCATCAATATTCATATTATTTGTCTTTCCTAAATATCATTTGTGTTCAACAGAAGAAGAAAAGAAAGAAACTCATAAGAGTTTAAAACCTATTGAGGGTGAGTAAATTTTCATTTCAGGGTGAATTATGCCTTTTATAACAAGTAAAAACTTTACCAAATAACAGTTCATATCAACATGAACTCAATGTTTACTTTCTTTGATAACGTTGAACTCCAGTAGGCAGAAAGAATAGAACTCATTTGCATTTCTTAAAGATACAGTAAAAAACATCCTCTCAAAAATAGATGCTCAAAACTAAATTTGACGGCATTTTTATGCAAATTCCCCATGGAACTTGACAAACAAGTCTAACTAAGAAACAATTTTGATATCTCTATCGTCGGCGGACACATTTTTGTATAATTAACGTTAGCCGTTTGAGCCCATTATTGTTTATCTCGACCATAAACGAACAATACGAAGTTACTGAAGGAATAAACTGTGACAGATTACGGCTGTTTCCTCAAATGCACTAAAAGCTGCAAACTCGTGGCTGCACAGATAGCATTCGGTGACTGTAAACAACATGAGAACTAATCCGTGTCTGATCATAACGTTACATCTTCAGCACATGAGTGATTCATACATGCTAGATCAGACGTACGAAAGCAGAAACTATCATGCAAAATGTCCAGCAGCAGATCACGCTCTCTATTATGATAACCAGGCCTGCTGTTATGGCGTCAAACCTATCGTAATACACAGATCTAATGATTCAGGCTAATATTTATAAAAGGACGGGGTGTTGTGGTCAGCTATACCCAAGCTCACAGCATGCAGCTACGCAATTTAAACACTGAGGCCTTCATCTGCTCTGGCCCTTTGCAACACATTGAACGATTGTGTTCACCAAACCGCCATTTTGCAGCCGTTTTATCTGCCCGAACACGCACACACCTCGTGATTAAACGCGTTGACGGCGTCCATGGCGTCCCGTCTCTGCTCCGCGGTCGCTTTCTCGGGTAAATTCAGAAATATGTGTGGTACTGTCCTCCAGCAGGCCGCCCCAACATGTCCGCCCCTGGCAGCAGACAGACAGCTCGGACTCGGAGTCGGCGCGGTGCTCGCGGTGCAGGATGGGATTGAAACGCTGCTTTGGCGAAGCACGAGCACTAGATGGCGCTGAGAGCACGCAGGAAAAGTCGAGAACGAAATCAAATTCCTTTTGTGATAAAAATAAATAGATATTTGCACATTTACGCGCAATCCCATACGGTAAACATATATGTTGTTCTGGTTAAAATGTATTTCAAATATATGCTAAATATATGTTATGGGGTGTGGGATTGCCTGCAAAAATTTAAAATACATATCATTTTTACCTTCATGTACCAAATGATATTTAAAATGAATTGCAGGGCAAGGGCGCCCCCAAGGGGTGGGATACGGCCACCCTTGTGTAAACTGTGGCCACCCCAATATGATTTAGTTGTTGATATTATTAATTTAAATGTACTTACGTAAATTCACAATATTTTAATAAATGAATTAATAAATAAAATGCAGCCACTAAATTATTATTATATTATATAAATTGCAACATTTCAAGAGTACTTAATAGAATTAATTAAAACTTCATTATTTAATTTACCAGAAACAAAAATATAACATCATTATTCACAATATATACACAATTCATAATTCTTTTGTTTGCCACCCCAAGATTTGGTGTGGCCTTACTTGGCCACCCGTAAGAAAACTTTTTGTGGGCGCCACTGTTGCAGGGTCAAGAAAATGTATTTTCAACCTTACAAAATAATATGGAGGAAAATATATTTGAAAAAGTATGCTAATGTATTTTCTTTAAGTCAGGGGTGCCCAAAGTTTTTCATATGAAGGGCCAAAAACCAAATATCATTGAGAGCAGTGGGCTGAAGATAAATATGCTAAATTATATTGCATTAAAGTTACCATCAGTCAATTTGTAATTTGTTTTTATAAAATTTCAAAATAGAAAAAAAAATGCTTTAAATCGTATTAACTAACACAGTATAACTTTTTAAATGATAACTTATTGCAAAAAAAGAAACATTTATAACACAGTGGAGTTCAACGCTGAATACACTTGTCAAGCAGAATCTGCCTTTGCCTTGATCTGTTCACCAAAGTCTCTGCATTGTCGGGTGACAGTATGTACATTGGAACAAAATCTGATTAATTTACACCATTTAACTGACACATTTAATTTCAGCTAGTTTTTAACAATAAAACAAAAAGTTACATTAAATTTGAATTGACAATCTCTTATCATTTCCCCTCTCTTCTTCTTATGGAAATATATTTTAAATTATTGTAATATATAAATAGCCTATATATATATATATATATATATAGTTGGAAATATATTTGGGATAGTTAAAATTTTGTCCATTCCAAACATAAATAAACATATAAAATATAAATTTATTTTGCCGATTTTTAATCTTTTTTGCAAAATGATTACCATTAGGATAATGAACATGTGTACTAGAAATAGCTTTTAAGTGCAGCAAAACCATTAACATCTTGGTTAACATGGTTACAATACAATAACTTTTGTATTATATAAAATATTTTTTTTCCCTTTTGAGTAAAATCATAAGGGTAGCAATGAACACATATAAGGAGACCTTTGTATTCCAAACATTATAACGATATACATTCAGCATTCCTGGATTATAAATCATGTAACGTTGGTTTTGACACTGCATATGGTTTATCAAACCCGCTGGGATTAAATGCTTCTTCTTATTATTCCAAATGCTGGAGGCTGCCTGGTGTTCACTCTTGACAGTTTGAATAAAACTGATGATTCAGTCCCTCTTTTGTGAGCAACTGCATTCATTTAAATCTTTCTGTAGGTCTGTAATAAGAAACAGCTGATATTCAGTATGTTTCTGTGATGAAAATCCTTTCTAATTAGAAAATACAAAAAGATTTAGAGGTTTTGAATATGTCTATGACAGAGCATTATATCTGGTTAGAGGCCTTCCCTGACCTTTGGTCCCTGTGTGTTAAAAAAATGTTTCAAAAATGTCCTTTGTATTAACATTTTTAATATTGAGAAAAGAAATAGATTATGCTGCCTGTTAAATGTTTAAGTTCAGAAAGTTTTATGAAAGAAAATGTTTAAAAATTTGTATTATTTATTTATTCATTTATTTTCCTTCAGCTTAGTGCCTTTATTTATAAAGGGTCACCACAGTGGAATGAACTGCCAACTTATCCAGTATATGTTGCACTGTGGATGCTCTTCCAGCCGCAACTCAGTACTGGAAACATCCATACACTCTTGCATTCACAAACATAGATTAGCCCAGTTTATTCAGTTCACCTCTACTGCATGTCTTTGGACTGTGGGGGAAACCGGAGCACCCAGAGGAAACTCACGCGAACTCAGGGAGCAAACTCAAACTCATGCAAACTCCACACAGAAGCACCATCTGGTCCAGCCAGGGCTCGAACTAGTGGCCTTCTTGCTGTGAGGTGACATTGCTAACCACTGAGCCACTGTGCTGCTTTATTTATTTATTTTTTAAATGTTTATTTAAAGATTTGCAATAAAAAAAAAAAATAGTGTTATAGGTGTCTCATGTCATCATATGCTATAATACAAGCATCTATTATACAATCGACCATCGGCTAGTATTCAAGTCTTTTGTGAAGAGTAAAATTAACAACAGATCTTTCAATACATACTCTAAAAGATCTCAAAGAAGATTCCAGATATGCCAGAAACCATCAGATTCCTAACACACTTTATTAAAAAAAAAAAACACTCTTTTGTTCACCTGCACTTGACTGCATTTATTTGTTCATATCAGTAAACAAGCTATACAGTAAAATGGTAATATAGTTACTAGGGATGCTCTACTCAGAATTTTTGCAGCCGATACCGAAAACTAATTCCTTGTCATGTGATTAGCCGATACCAAGTACCAGTTCTGATACTTTAAGTTTCATAACGCATAAAGCAGATTTTCACTCTACGTATGATACTTAAATGAAGATCTTGCCTTACGTTAGAGAATAAATAAAAAATGTTGCATATAATTCCTTAGGACATGTCTCCTATAACCATTTAGTGTGGACATGGTACAAAAAAATACTAACAAAGCAATCTGGAAGCATGTCTTATGTCTCAATGAAGCTTGGAGCGCATATGTGATGCACAAAAAGTTAAAATTCACACCTCTAAATCCATTACTTCTTTAATTAAAGGAAATAGGCCCATAAACAACTATTATTACAATAAGTGCATTACTATAACATATAGTATTAAATATTCAAGTAATATATATATATATATATATATATATTTATTTATTTATTTCCCTAATATTTCCAGCCAGGTTTTAATGTACTTGTAAGATTGTAGTAACACAGAACCTTCAGTTTTTACATGTAAAAAGATTTTAGTCGTTATATATCCTCTGCCTGTAAACACTTAAACAAACACTCGTGATCGGTTCAAGAGATTGGCCAGATTAGCGAGTACCGATCGGGTCATGAAATGTGATTATCTGCCAATACTAATCTCTGGCCAATCAATTGAAGCATCCCTAATTGTTATATCACAGTAATTTTAAATCATGCATATTTCATTACTGCATTTTCAGTGTTCAGTGTCAAAAGATTCCACATAGATAATTATAATATGCTGATTTTGGTGCAATATTGTTAAGACACATTTCTCATTTTTAGTACTTATTGGACTGGACTGACTCAGTTTCAATTTACTATAATCTTCTATGTTAAGCTGGTTTGACACAATCTACATTGTAAAAATAAACTGAAATGAAAATGAATTGAATTGATCAATATAGAACTCCAAAAAAAAAAAAAACAAAAAAAAAACAGCTTTATTTGAATTATTGCTAGAATTAAACAACTCACAGTCTGCCAAACACAGATGAAATTAACATGTATCAGCTTGTTTAGCAGATTATGATTCATAACTAATGTCCTTCTATAGAATATTAATCATATTGAAGCAGTGATTTTGATCAATTGATTTATTTATGATCATTTTGATTTTCCTAGATGTTCTGAAATGCCAATAAAAGATGTTTGAGGCCAAATTGGCTGGTGAGCAAAAAAAAAAAAAAGTAATTATAACTGATTATAAACATCTTCACTGTCATTTTTGTCAAATCTTTCAACAGTTTTGTACATTTAAAGCATACACACAATGCATCACATAACAGTATGATGCATGCTTTATGAAGGTCAGTGGGCTTGACAAACCACCTGTACACAATCTTCCTGTCCTAACGCACCAGGCATGTTAGAAATACTTCTATGTTTTATATGTTTGTCTCTATTATAAAACTCCTATAATCATTTCTAGAACTTCATGTTCGCATTAAAATTCAATATCATTTGGTTGAATTCTTTATGATTAGCAGCTGCACTATCAATTTTCTTTGTTTTCTATTTCCACCTGGGGATGCCCATCCCGAGGCCTCTAGGAGGTGCAGTGCCATTGATGGGATTCAAGACCTGTGAAGAGATGAAGCCAACCATCGAGAACTTTGAGGACAACACATACACTTAATACACATATACTCTTCATTAACCTTGCACAGACATCACCTATATGATATAAAACTGTAGGTTTTTTCATAAAATTGCACGTTTATACATAACAACTTAATTTAATTGTAGTGTAATAAAGTGCACCTTTACAAATAAACTTGAATTGAATTGAATTTGAAGTGTAATTTCTCAACAAAACCTTTAAACATTTCAAAAAGTACAACTTTAACACCAACAGAGGGCATCATTTTCTTAGAATCAACTCAATCATTTTGTCCAAAGGTTGCACATTGATACAATTCAATTCCGGGAACAATCTGAAAACATCTCAAATTAGGCCTATAACGATAAATGTTCACCAGACTTTCAACCTCCTTTCCAAATTAGTAATTTATGCTTATATTATAATGCTCCTGCTAAAAATAAAGTCTTCAAATGCCCTTAATAACATCCCAAACGCTGTATAAATGTCTAACAAACATGCCATGGCCCTCAAAAACAACTGGCTTCAATCCAAGAGTGAAATCATAGTGTTAAGACGGATCACATAAGCCTCTGTTCACTGTCATTGTCTTAACGCAGGAAGAAGGAAACCGTGTGAGCCAGAGAAAAGTGTCCAGCATTACCATGGCTTATTTTTGCATGCCTAATTGAACGGCGGACACAGAGATATTGTGTACAACTGTGTAATTTAAACCATGGTGCTTGGCATCACTCTTGGCACTGCGATTTGCTTTAAAACTTTTAAACCTGACATTAAATCTGATGGGGAGAAAAAAATAATAATTTTGAGAGCAAAATGAGCTCAATGTGAGTGGATACGACCCTTGAGGGACAAAACATTGCATAATATGAATCTCTATGTTGCTATGGCATATCCGAGAAAGCTTGCTATCTTGTTGCACTACCTTGATTCGAGTTATATAATAGCTCCTCAAATGTCTAATTGTGTTGACAGCTCGGAGAAGCGGTGCAAACACAATTACCAAGTCTGGAAGCTGCAATAAAATATACTTTTACTGCATCCCTTCTTTGTGAAAAATCCTCCTTAGTGACCTACTCGGATTTATTTTGCTTTTGCTTTGTGAGGGAGTTATTTTGTATTAGTATTTTCATGGGGTCTGGGTTGTGTGTTTACCCATCCTTCAGAAATAGAGTTCATGACCTTCATAAATTGAAAAAAAAAAATGAATAGGACTGTATACTTCACTAAAGCTTAACCCAGTGAAGCTTGACATATAATGGTCAGAAAAATGTTTTTATTAAACGAACAGTTTATTGAACCTTTCTAAAATGCATGCTTTTTGTTGTTGAGTTTCACAGTTGATACATAAGGCTTTTATGGCTTATGATATAAAAATATGGACCTCACAACCGAGGAGGAAAAACACTTCTATTTTAATAACAGGCTCAATCTTCATATTAGAGTCTTGTAAATCAATATTGCAGACACTGACTTGGATAGGATATCTATGAATTTTATTTATATCTACCAACAATATGCTTAAAAGTATATTTAAATGCTTTATTTTATTATTATTAAAGCTTTAGTTGTTTTTTGCAGAGCAAAAATAAATAAGAAAATAAATAAAATTTAGATAGATAGAAGTATCACATTTAATACTTTATAACATTTATAAAATAATAATGAATTTACTTTAGTTCAGTTTAGTGTTCATCTTGTCAACAATATGTAGATAATTATAATGATACATTAAAAAAACTTCATTAAACTGTATAAGTCATTAATAAAAACAATCATTTAGGAGAATGATAACATTGCAAACTTTGATTTGATTTGAATTAAAGTTTGATATTAAAAAGCATTAATAATGGACAATATGTACAATGCTGTATACTTAACAGCATTACTGGGCCACCGTACTGAAGGAAAGAACTACAATTCCATGAAGCGATGAAAACATCCAAAGCTCCTTTCAGATCACACAATTTTAATTTTCAGTTACAAAAGACACTGTCAGATTATGCTATTTTATCTTCATACAATCTTGACTTGTCGTGGGTAACAAATATGCCAGACTACACATTCCTTCATGATCAATCATCCCGTAACGTCTGCGACGAACATTGTTTCTCAAAGCAGTCACAAGTGTTGCTATAACAATATTTCTTATCTTGATTTTAGTGTTTTTTTTATCTGATGTTCATCTCAATAAATACTCATGTTTGCTGAGAACTAGGCTACCTAATTTAAGGGCATTCGTTACGACATTGATGGGATCAAACGTATATTTCCTTTTAATATAAAGATATTTTCTTTTAAATAACTTTTAAATCCAATTATTTTCCAGTCATGGGTTGCTTTCTTAAAACAATCCCTCACCTGAACTTGCCGCAAGTTAGACGGAGAAAATGAAAGCACATCAGCAGCAAGGAAAATCAGATGTTTAGAAATAAATCTTTCAAATAATGACATATTAAAAAATAGCAAATATATGACAGAGGTTTGTGATACAACAATTACAGTGAAGCATTAATTAAATCCTTATTTTACACAGAGCGAAACAAATCATCCACCCGCACAGCTGAGTAGTGAATGGGCACAAACAAAAATATAATTCATATATTTTTCTTGGAAAAAATATATATTTAAAATGAATTTCATTTGGTATAATTTGCATCTTAATTTAAATGTATTTTTGTTCAGGAATAAACGATTGAATCTTGTGTCATGATGCCAGTTTGTAGTTTAAGACTCCCCACGACACCCTAAGTCATGGAAATCGTGTCGATATTGTGACAAAATCATGTGAAAAAATCATAACAACAAATGCTTTATGTTAAATCAAGTTTCAACATATTATATATAATATATGATAATATATATAGTATATATTTTTTATACTTTTAACTTAATATCTGTGTTTAGTTTCACTGACATAAATTGAGATGATAAAAAAGTTCATTTGATACAAGTTGCTGCTTTTAAATTTAATTATTCATTTTTTAAGTTGATTAATTTATTGTGATTTAATATGTTTAGCCATTAGATATGATAGTTAATAAACCATATAAATTAAAACAATGTTCAAAATATAACAACATGCCCCAACCTGCATGTATATCATTTAGACACTTTTGATGACAGAGACAGTATATTGATGATGATCCTATAATGACATGAGTTATACTTGAATGTTCCTCACAGCACACCGTAACATGTCTGCGCTCGTGCAACAGCAAGGTCACATCTTTGAAAACTATAGTTATTTTATACTATTATTCATTGTGTCACCCCTCTCTTCGTCCTTTCATTCTTTAACTTTGATTAACAGTGTGTCCTGAGGGCCAGATATTTCTATCCATCAGTGAGGTATAAGTTTTTGTCTCCACTTGTACAGCTTTGTCTTTAAGCAAGCATGCAGTGTACGGTTAATATGTGAGCGATCATGTGTAAATGTATATCTGTCTGAATGAAAGCATGCATCACCACTAGAAATGATTGACGTTAGTCTATAGTTGAGTATTTGGAATCTGCTGATATACACTTACAACCAGAGGCCATAAAATTCCAATGCTGTGTGACACCAAGTGAAAACAACCAGCAGCTGTGAAACATGTATCAGGTGAAATTAAAAATGTAAAATGTCCTTATTACTATTAATTTTATATTGTCTTCCAATAAAACATCCAAAGCATCCACTTATTCCAGAATTGTGGGGTAATTTCAAGAAATTTCTATACATTTCTATACATTTTCCTTAAATTGCAATATTCAACAAATATATAAGTTTTGAACTGAATTTACTATTAATGTGAAATAATACAAAATTGCATAATGTGATAGGAAACATTTGATTCTGTTACTAAATTCTGTTTAAATAAAATGTCACAAACCATGCTATTAACTACTAGCTTATTACTGGCCTACTATTAAGATATTACCTGTTCATTAGAAGTTATGATTTTATTTTGCATCCCTAATTCTACCTATAGAGTCCACTTACACTTGACCATCCGAACCACGGCCAGGCACATTTCCCAGTTCGTTTGACAAGTGTGAGTGCACCGAATAGGGCCCAGGCATGGTTGGAAGTTATGTGCCAGAGCACAGTTCGGTTGGGTTTTGGCCCTGTAACCGAGCCTGAAACCGAAGATGCGATGTCATTTTTAAGGGACTATTTCATAAGGATTTATTAATCATTCTTACTTTTCAATGAATGCAAACTGTCATAGTTTATTTAATATGCAAATCCCTTGCTGCACATCAGCGACACCTTCAGCAAACCTCCTAATACGTGATTTTATGATCATTTATGAGATTCAAAAGTTGTGGATCTGTTCGGCAAAATATTTGCGTGTCATTGCATCCCAAACGACTAAAAATAACAACAAAGTATACTTCAGCACAGTTCAAGCCAACTGTACCTAGTGTGAGTACACCCTTAAACCCTACTTCTACCTTACTATCTATTATTTTTCATTAAAAATGATTCATTATTCGCCCTATGTTAATACCGTGATTTGACCTAAAGTGTTACCAATTATTGTTAAACCCTTTAAACAAGTGATAGAGTTGATATTTTCCACCATTTTGAGCTTTAGCTCAATATGCTAATTTCAAGCCACGTAACATACGCATTTCTAAAACCTAATTTTATGTAACTTGTATATTTTATGTAAAATTAATGAAAAATCCAATGAAATATCACAATAAAGGTCCAATAATTAAGTTATAATGAATTAATAGAGTTGACCATGAACGTGACAGGCACTAAATGACATGACAAATAATACAGAAAATAAACGTATCTTCCAAGTGTTTTTTTTTTACTTTGTAAGCACACAGAAAAAATAAATATCAAAAATGTCAAAAACAGTTTTAGAGGGAGTCTTTAAGTCAGGGTTGCCCAAACTCGGTCCTGGAGGGCCGGTATCCTGCAAAGTTAGTTCCAACCCCAATCAGACAGGCTTTCTAGAAACATCCATGCAGTTGAGGCAAGTTGGAGCTAAAATCTGCAGGACACAGGCACCCAGGACCAAGTTTGGACACCCCTGCTTTAAGTTAATGTAAAAGGTTTAATAACTTTAATCCACATTAAGAAAAGTTGATCTTTCCAAACATGTGCTATGTACTGTAGGATATTGCATATCTTTACAATGTCACAAACTCATTTAAGTCCCCAAAAAGACTGGTGGTCCAGAAAAGAATGATAACGCATGACAGGACAGGAAAATATGGAATAATCTCAGTGGGGAATCAGTTCAGCACTGACACTGGAATTGTTCACCAGTTAAGCAATAAACAGGGTAAGGATCAGACACCTGTTAATTATTGATGTGAAAGTTAATAATTTAAGTGGACTTTGTAATTTTTCAGATGAATGGAGCTCAGGAATGAATGAGCAAGTGCTGTTTTTTATTCATGCATGAACAATTAAGGTAAGAGTCTCATCATTTAGCAATTTTGTTGGGCAAAGGAGGAGTAATTAAATATGTATTCACACTTGGCAGGTTTAGTTGAAGTTACATACAAACTCTGTTGTGATTGCTCTGTTAGAGATTTGATTGACAGTTTAAATGCTGGTATTTGAATGTTGGTATGCTCCAAGCATGATAGAGTTTTCAGAAAAAAAAACATGCTTCAAAACAAACGTATACCTGTAAATGTACACATTCCACAGGTTAAAAAATTAACAAACACCCAACACACATAGTTTTTGAGGGTATTTGGTAGGTTTTGTTGTAAAAATTTTAGCAAACTCTTTTGTTTGACTTGGTCCTAAAAATGACAGTGTGAATGCTAAAGCAAATGTATAATTTTTTTTTTTGGTTCTGTTTTTCTGGTTTCGTTTGGTTTGGTTTCTTTTTAGTCAAAAGAAAAAAAAAGAACCAAAATCACAAGTCTGAAAACACCTTAAAAACTACATTTTAATATGTATTTAATTTCCTTTTTTTGTCAGGTACAATGAAGTCATTTTTCAGCCAGTCAAATGTTATCACTGGATTATTTTTGGCCTTATCTGCTTTCACCCTGAGCTGCAGTGGAGGTAAAATTCTCCTGTATCCTGTGGATGGAAGCCATTGGGTCAACATGAAAGTCTTGATAGAAGAGCTGCACTCCAGGGGTCACAGCATCACGGTGATCCGACCTAAATCCAGCTGGTACATCACGGAAAAGTCTCCTCTATACACTTCCATCACAATCCAGGACAATGTTAATGATTTTGAAAACTTTTTTGAAGATTATTTATCGAAAGCGATGGAGATAGAGCGAGGCGAAGGTTCTGGACTTGCATTCTTGAAACTCCAATATGATCTGTTCTCAATGCTGTCAACAGCTCATGAAATTGCTTGCAAAATGGTGTCCATTATTTTAGAAGATAAGATGCTTGTAAAAAAACTTCAAGATGAACAGTATGACTTAATGCTCACCGATCCCGCAATAGCAGGGGGAGTGTTTTTAGCACATTATTTAAAGCTGCCTCTTGTTCTCAATGTACGATGGATTACCAGTGGTGAAGGACACTTTGCTATCGCACCATCTCCGATGTCTTACATTCCTTTACCAGGTTCTGGTCATACAGATAAAATGGATTTTGCTCAAAGAGTTAAAAATGTTTTATTCAAAACCTTTACGTTCCTCCAGAACAGATTTGTGGTGGGTCCACATTACGACATACTCATAGACAAGTATCTAGATTACAAAACAGATATTGTTGGCCTTATTCAGGCTGCTGATATCTGGCTCATGAGGGCTGATTTTGTCTTCGAGTTCCCCAGGCCAACCATGCCAAATATTGTTTACATGGGTGGATTTCAATGCAAACCTTCTAAGCCTCTACCAGCAGACCTGGAAGCATTTGCACAGAGTTCAGGAGAGCATGGCTTTATTATTATGTCCTTGGGAACACTTGTCAAAAGTCTCCCAGCCGACATGGCGAATGCTATCGCAGCTGCATTTGCAAGATTACCTCAGAAAGTCATCTGGAGGCATCTTGGAGATCGACCGTCCAATGTTGGGAACAACACACTTATTGTGGACTGGATGCCGCAGAATGACCTCCTGGGACATTCAAAGATCAAAGCGTTTGTGGCTCATGGAGGAACCAATGGAGTGCAGGAGGCCATTTTCCATGGGGTACCAGTTCTGGGAGTCCCTTTGTTCTTCGACCAGTTTGACAACTTAATACGTGTTCAGGGGAAAGGAGCGGGTAAGATACTTAAGCTGTCAGAACTCAATGCCGAAGCTTTCGAACAAGCCCTTCAGGAGTTGCTCAATGACGGCTCCTACAAGAGGAACATGCAGACACTGTCCACTCTGCACAGGGATCAGCCCATGAGGCCATTGGACACGGCCATCTTCTGGATTGAGCATGTGATCAGACATAAAGGTGCAACACACCTGCGCTCAGAGTTTTACAAGATGCCGTGGTACTCGTACCATTCTGTGGACGTGTTTTTGGTTCTGTTCACTGTTGCTGCTGTGTGTATGCTTTCTACCATTGCAGTGATCAGATATGTGTGCTACAAAATATGCTGTAGGAGAAAAAGTAAAAGTGAATGACACTATGCGAATGCTGGCATGCAGAGAAAAACAATGGGACATCATTGTTTCAAGATTTGCTGATGTTATTATGCTTAGTATTGCAAAAAGTGTGTTTGATAAAACTTTTATTGATGTTTACGATCTTTTAATATGTGACATGGTATACAATAGACGGCTTTAAAAGCACTAAATAAAATGTGGAAACATGGTCCATGTAAAAATGTATGAAATAACTCAATGTGATCCAACATAAAATGTTATATGAACACTGGTCTTTGTTTACAGTAAAATTAAGTCTTCGTTTAGGAGTCCTAAACTAGTTACACTGTATGTGTAGGGCCAGTTTGACCAGATAAAATTAAAAACAATTAAAATAATAAATACATGATTTTCATAAGAGTCATTTGTTTATAAATAAACTGCACAAAACTGATTAAGTAAAAAAAAAAACAGCTTAAAAAATTATTTAATATTTGTCACATTTAAAAAAATAATAAAAGTCAATAAATATTGAACTGGCTCATAAGATCCTTAAATTAAAAAAATAAATAAATCAGTCCTTAGCATGGTCAAAAAGGACATAGACATTAGCATGGTCCAACATGGTTGTGCTTATTCTCTTAATGAGATATGGGTGTATTTTGAGTATAACATGCATTAAACCAATCAGAGTCTCATCTCACATTCCCTTTAAAAGTCAGTTGTGTCGCGCGATGGCGCATTTGCTATTTACATGGCAGACATTGCAAGTTTCGCATTACTTTCTCTTTACTTTACTTTTATTCTTTACTTTATTCCTTTACTTTTTTGTAAGGAAACGGTGGAAACTCACTCAATTAAAGACATCCATTAGCCCACATATTTAATTTTGTTTTTAAGTGCAAAAATTAGTTTTAAAACTATTTCTAAATTCAGTTCTGATTTCCAGCAAATGAATAAATGAACATGAAGTTATGTCTAAACACTTAATTCCTTTTATGCACCAAATAGTGATGCATACGTCTTAAAACTCAACAGGTGGGGAAATCTAAACTTGTTTTTATAAAAACAAAATATAAATAAGCATGTAATAAATAATACTTATCATAACAATAACATTATACAAATGCAAAAATGGTCAACAACCTAAAAAAAGCACCCTGAAGTGAAGAAGTCATAGAGGTAGTGGCTTTTATACACTTTATGTATATGTATAACATTTTAATCCTTACATTTTTTTATTTGTAAAGATATTTATGTATTGCTGTACATCCTGTGTGTTTTAAGCAATTTGTATGCATTTGGACGTGTTCTACACTGTACTGTAGACCAGCTTTTAGTTGGTGAATTGCGCAGTCTATTTCAGTTGCTCAAGTTAGCAACGCACCAACAATGCGCCTTTACACACCACCTTTACAGACCAGCACCCATGAGTCCACAAAGTGGCGCAAATGGATTTGCTATTCAAACAACAGGGTGCAAAATGTGAAAATTAGAGTTGCGCTGGTCTTAAAAAAGCAACAAATTGCGCCAAACACGTCTAGCGCCTTATTGTGCCGGGTGTATGATTGGGCTCTTAATGTTCTTGAATTGTTACAATGAGCATTTTTGATTCACAAAAACAAACTTCCTGATAGAAGTCATTTGTTCAGCAATTGGACTTACTCTAAATCATAAGAGTGTCTGAACTTTAAGTGTAGGATTCACTTAAAAGAAACAAGCAAAAAGTTAACACATTCTGTATGAAGCCCAATTTTTAATCCTAAACAATAAATCAAATGCTTCAATATGAGGTACATGGTATCTTACATAAAACCAGTCAAATGAATGATTCATAAAAAAGTCAGCATACTTGAAAATCACAGCCTTGGGCTAATGGTTCATGTTTGAGAACATCTACAATCTCAGTTTTGAGTGCTTTTTTTAAAGTCATCTTGACAGAAGGATGAGAGTCGTGTTGTTGTTAGCATTCTCTCAGATGCTGTAGAGAAACTCGAGCTCATAGAGGTCATCACAGAGGGTCAGTGAACATGCCACATGTGCTGACATGCTCACTTTATGCCGAGACAGTTGCTAATAGGCATAACGGTGTGAAGATTACCCCTTTTACACACGTTTACAGCAAACCGCAAAAGTGGCTCTGATTACACCCAGCTGTGGTCTGTCAGATTTTTTACATGTTACATGCCATAAGAAAAAAAAATCTATTCATGCTTTAAAACACTAGCAAGTCAAATGATCCTCTGCATTAAATGTAGGTTAAAAGTCACTGGATCTGAGAGGAAAGCAGAGGAAATGTATATTCATTAAACAGCAAGCAGTGATCCACATACCGCAGTTTAAAATGTATACAAATGACTTGGTGGTTTTGTGATGTGGTTTAGTGAAAGTTCACAGGGGTTTTAAATCCATACCAATGAATCGAGATGTCGACAGACCGTGAACACAACCACCGTTTCAAACTATTTAGGTTTTTGCACACAAGAGCAGCTGTTTTACTGACCATGAATGACTGTATCTGGGTCAGAGGCTACTAAATCCTCAAACCACAATCTATAACAGAAGTGCAGCTGTAAAAGCCTCAACCACAGGCACTTTAAACAAACTTACCAATATTTATTTAGAGAACCCTCTATAATGATTATCTATTGAATTTAAGGAAGTAGTGGCTTGATTTGACTTCAATGTAATTGCACTATAATGTTATTTAGAGTGGAGATTGCTTACACATCAGCATTTTAGCATGTGTAACCTTTTTGAAGTAACAAACTGACACAAACAAAAACATGTTTGCTGTGATGCAAAGCTCATTTTGGCAAAACTCAGACTTTTAAATACCAAAGAAATCCACTAATTGGTTTCAGGTAATGCAAACAAACAATGGTTTTAAAAGAACAAGGCACCAAAGGGAGATTTAATAAGCTCACCGAGAGAAATTCATAGCAACAGTCTATTTATCTTTACAAGTGTGCTGTGGAGCGTCTTCAGAAATGTGTTGTGAGAAAATGGCCAGGCAGCAGGAAGAATTTAAATGAGTCTTGCAGCAATCATCTTTGTTCGCAGCACTGTTTGAACTCAGATTTCCCTGCACACACAGCTTCATGTCTGATGAGAGGAAATCATTTGTTATAAAAGACGAGTGCAAATAAATATGTACATTTGTCTTTAATCAAAAAGCCTACAGCTGTATTGTGATATGAATGAAAGATGTGACTGGATTTGAGAGAGTGTAAACAGCAGAAAGACCTGCATGTTGCCTGTACGCTGGAACTGATGCATACAAATTTGACACGTCTTTATGAAATATCCTGCAGAAGCAGACAAATGAAAATTAGCTGAGATGAATTATGAATTGATGTCATATACATGGGGTTTCTGTTTTTCTTAAAAACAAAATAAAGCGATTCTGGCATTTCTGGATACTGTATTAGCCTCTAGAGACTATCATTGCATCATTTTCCATTAGGATACTATGCTTATAAATGGTTTAAAGGCTTTAAAAATTATACCTGTCAGCTATTAAATGGCTGTTATTTCTTCACTTGTCAGTTACAAGAATTTTAGTTCAGCATCTAAAGTAACTGCTTCATTTACTGTGCTTGATTAACTGCGACTTGTCACAGTACTTATATATTGTTGCACTCATGTTAAATGAATTGCTTATTGTCCTCACTTGTGTACATTAATTTGAATAAAAGTATCTACTAAATTATTAAATGTAAATGTTTAATGATTCATAACAGATGCGGACCAAGTTAATGAAAAAACATGATAAACTATTATTTTAGGCAGCTAAAAGATCACTATTTCTTTTATTTGAGCTTCTGTTGCAACTACAATTAGTTCAAATGACTCACTGAGGAAGTGTTTTTAATATAAACCAAATTCAACACATTGTAAAAAAGTAATTAGTTAATTTTCTTAAAGGTCCCATGAAATTAAAAGATGTTATTGATGTTTTAGATGTTAGTTTCAAGGATATGTATTAGCTAGTGAGCTTCAAAACAGTCACAACATATGTGTTTAGAAAACAAGTTTGCAGTTTGTTACTTTCACCTAAATGGATCAACAATTTGTTTGCACGTCACAACTTCAGTTTGTCATCAAATTTTGCCTCTAATTAGTTTTTTATTGGATGGGCTTAACCTCTACCACTCTCACTGGCAGAGCTGTGAGACGAAATGCTATTGGCTGTTTTTTAAGAGGAGAGGTATGGTGTGGAGCTAATGATATGCCAAAACAGTCTGAATTTGAATTTGTTATTTTGAATTGTTAACAATTGTAATATAATAAATCTGAATTTTCATATGGCATTCAAATAGTTTTGAATTTGACATTTTTATTTGAATATTGAACATTTAAAATTTAAGACAACTGAAAAGTCACTTTTTATAGACATATTTTCTTCATTTTAGTTTAAACCTAATTTTTTTGTTCTGAATTGATAGACTGCAGATATCCAGTTTGTAAGAATAAAGTTTCAAGTTTTCAAGATGAAGAAATTCAGAACATCAAATTCAATATTCTGAATTCAAAACCATAAATTCAGATCGTGAAATTCAGATTCAACGCAGAAAGTAAATCAGACTTTAAGAAACGTTTTCTTAAATTTCAGATGTTCAATATTCAAGTAAAGAAATTAAGAAATTCAAATTCAAAACAGTTAAAAATTCTGATTTATTAAATTGCAATTGTCAATAATTCAAATGAACAAAATTCAAATACTGATTGTTTTGGCAGATTATTAGCTCTATTGAGGAGCAACTCTATGTCCCACTCTCTTCATTTTTCAGTTGTGATTACGTCAAACATTGAACAAAAAAATGCTAATTTAAAAGCACTTCACAGGACCTTTAAAAAGTAAACTTGTTGTAACTTTTAAATTATAAATTGACTTAAATTTGATAACTATGCATGTAGCTCAAATTACTTAAAAATTAAAAGGCAATGGGTTTACTCACTTTTTTTGTAAAGTCAAATGATCGCTTTGAAAGCAACGCGTTTGCTCACTTTTTTAGGTAAAATCAACTTGGCTGGGCCAGTTGAGATTGCAGAGTACATTTTCGCTGCATATTATAAAATAGTTTCAGGTGGAAAAACACACAGCTCTCCCACATGATCATGTTGCATATTTTCTAAATGGTTTGAGGGGAGCATGTGGAGCATGACATGCTGAAATAAAATGACATACCTGAGGCATATAATCACACATGATGAAGAAAGAAGGGAATGAA